ACCACCATACTCTGTTTCTCTCTCAGCACAACATTGGCACAGCAGAGCAGCGTTTCATTTTTCACACCACTGCAAACGCAGCGGAGCATTGTTAGAGAGCGCTCGGCTCGTCCTCCGGCAGCCACTGTAATGATGCGACCCGTAGGTGCAGCGATGCACTGATTGACCGGTCTATTTGTTTCCTGTGAGTGAGACCATGATGATGATGTTCACAACTTTAAAACATCAGCAGCCAGCAGAGTCGTGGCCTTCATCGCTAACCTGAAAATTTCTTCTTACCTAAAATTTAAATCCTTAACTTTTAGAGATTTATATTTTTCAGTGTCACATGCTCTTGGATTCTTGCTAATTTACCAGCTATTAAAAATGAAAGAAAAAAAAAAGTGTTTGGAGTGATATCCTTATACATACATCCAGCAGAGCTTTGTTTGTGTGTAGTGACACCAGAAAATTTTTTTTAAGAGATTTAAAGTGAAGGCAGCCAATAATTATGTCATAGTAACTTGTGCAGATGCAATAGGACATATAATCCTTTATATTTTTCTTAAATACTCTGTAAAGATGGATTTAGAGTATAGACAAATGCTGCATACTGTGCATGGATAGTTTAGAGGTTTTTAAATGTTCACTTTTAGAGGACATTTTCTGAAAGACGTATAAAGTTGTTTCTAGTATTTCCCCACAACTTTAAGTGGGCGGGGTACCCAGGTCTATTTTGACCTCATTTCACCTTTTTAAAAAAGAATTCATTATTATTATTTTTATTATTTTTATTATTATTATTATTATTATTATTAGTTTTGTATCTGTCAGGGAGAATAATGTTGTCAGATCAGGTTACTAGTAGCAAATCCCCCGTTTTCTGAAGTCCTGCTTTGAAGCCTCAGGTTAGGCCAGTGGTTCCCAAACTTTTTTTGCTAGACCCCCCCTTTGCTTTACAAGGAGTCGTTATAAGAAGCGTTTGTGAACTAAAAATCAAGAATGTGGAATTCTGTTTGTCCGTGATTTGGAGAGCCCAGCGCCTGCTCCTGACGCAGGGAAAACCAATTATGCACTTGTGCAGGTGAAGCCAAAGGGAATATTTGCTTCACCATATTTTTTAGTCTTTGGCTTAGAATGAAGATGGTTTGGAAACATATTTGGCGATGCTTCATCTCCTGCTTTGCGTTTGTGTGGGAGCCAAAGACCTTCTTGGTCTGAGGTGATGGTGCTACCCACTGTGCCACTGTACTGTTGGAGAAAGAAAAAGCCGCTTAACCTGAAAGATAAATGATCATGATGGTTACTTAGAGCTGTAATTAGAAAATATTCTTGCAGCTTGTGTGAGATGCAAATGAAGCGTCAGTTGGTTTCTGAGCAGGAAATGAAACCAGTGAACATCCCATAAACTGAGTGATTTGGTTTGTCAGTGGTTTATCTGGAGCCACTTCTGCAGATGTGGTTATGGCCATTGTTCGCCAAACAAACCAGGCTGATAAAGCAGAGAAAGCAGCTGATACGGGCGAGTGTGTTCTATCTATGTGTGTTGGGTTTTGGTTTTTTTGGGGTTTTTTTGGTGGGGTTTTTTTGTTTGTGGGCCCGAACCAGCATCACCGCCTTCAACCTCAGCTCCTGCAGCTGCTCTGAACACCAACAAGATCCTGATTTGTGCATGAATATTTCAGCTGCAGGAAACCACTGTGGCAGCCACCTGCTACCCAACGCCCTAAACGTTCCAACCCTCTTGATAAGTGGCCCGAGTCGGTTTTTGTTTCCCTCTGCCACAGTTACAGCACTATTGGTTTACATTTTGGAGCATGAGAGCCCTTCAAAGGCATCCTATAGTGGAGCAGGTGTGAAAGACTCTCAAGCCTTGCATGGCTTTGCAAATCATAAATTAATTAATTAATTCGCTTTTATTTAATGATGCCACATTGATGATCATTACTGCAAAAAGGCAGTCAATTATCTGAAGATTTGTGCTTTTAATAGACGCTATTTATGCACCCAAAGTCAAAAATGGCCAACCATAAACTAAACTAGAAGCACTTAGTGGCTTTTGTTGTTATGGTGGTAACTCGCTTGATTTCTGTACTGTTATTAAAAGATAATAATGTTCCTATTGCGTTCAGTCTCTTAGTTTCTCTTTTCTTAGTGCTCAGACAAAGCCTCAGTGATGTTGGCTCCTATGACACATCAGTAACAAGGAGGAGACCTGATACCTGCAAACACAGGAGGAGAAGCTTCGAGGAACGTCTTGCTTTGGCCTCTAATCACCCGATCAGGTTTCCACAGCAGTTCTGGGCAGGCTGAGCCGTTCAGGGGGCCCAATGTAGCTGTTGGTCAAAAGCTGTTTTATCTTCAAAAGTTCAGCTCTGTTAGAGCCTTTAACGGATGAAAGTGGTTGACTTGAGTCAGCTTTAACTTGAATTTTAACAGGCGTTTCTTGCTGGCAGGGACATAAAAGTTGGTCTGCTTAGACAGGATCTTGTTCAGAGCAACACCCACACCGTGAACTGCTGGATAATGAGCAGGAGTGTCTATAGACATGCGCTTGAAGTATATAAACCAGACGAGGGAGCTTGTGCACAATCACCAGCTCCTGTCCTCCTCGTTTGTGGGGCAAGCAGGCCGAGCCTTTCCCTCATTTGGTCATACTGACGGTTTCAGTTCAAAGATCAAGTCTTTACTGCAGCGACTCTCCATCTTTGCATCAGTCCCTTTACACTGAGCCTTTTTAACCCATTACATTAAAAAAGAGACAAAAAATGCTCTGTAATAAGCATTTGTTTCAAATTAAATACAATTTCAACGTTTTAAACTTGGAAATGGAAGGTTTCATGTGACTGTTTGCTCTGGTTATTAAAAAGTCATAATTTCATTTAGAGTATCTTCTTATTCATTTTGTTGAGTAAGTCTGCAAGTAAAGATTATTTTATCAATTCAATCCCTTATTTCTTGTTTTGCTTGGTTGATTTTAATAAATTCATCCAACTGGGGGCAACTAATTGATTCCTTTTGGCTTGATAACTAATAGATTAAACATTATCCAGGCTATTACTCGTCATTTTTCATTGTTTCTTTAATATTTATAATTGTATTCAGAGCCTCATGTGAATACTGATTCATTTAGTTGCACAGGTAATCGTCATGGCAATCATGTCTGCAGCAGGCCTTTTAGAAACGTGCCTCTTCTCTTCAGTTACATTTAAACGATGAACCCACAGGTCACATTTTAAATGATCGTTTTAGCATCATACTCGTTACTTGCTATTCCTTTCGTAAGATGCTTTTCTCAATGGCGCGGATGTACTTTTACTGCAAACATTATCCGGTCAGGAATATTGAGCGCAGAGGAAATGCTTTGTCTAAGGGAGGAGACTGTAACCTCTATTTGAAGGTGACCAGAGGCAGGCTGTGTGGGAGTGCAGCCTGTTGGAGACCCCTTCTGGCTAGGGACGAGATTTCATCGGCACTTTTTATGCTGTTTAACAGTGACCGTTTTTATCAGCCACCTACAGTTTGTGCAACGTCAGCCACCAAATCAGTCATTCAGTTTGTTCTCATCCAAAATTGAGTTTGAGCCATCTAGAAGTGATGAATTTATTAACGAAAAATACAATTTTTTTTATTTTTTATTTTTTATTTTTTGTGATGTCTTCTTAAATGGGAATATTTTCTAGTTTTCTTCGTCTTCTAGGTTGTCACGTTTTTAGAGTGTTTAAGAGCTGCTTAAACACTTACAGGGAGGTTTTAATTAGTTTTAGTCCAGATCCATTCAGGTCTTCTTTAGTACATCTTTATTCTTCAGACACTTTTCCTATCATACCTTCATCAAGTCAGTTTTTGAGGTACAGAAACAGTTACTTTCAGTTTGAATTCAAAATGATGTGTAAGCAATATATCGAAGGCTTTGCTGATCTTACAAGATGAACTTTTTGTTTTGCTAACATTCAACTTGGATCCTTCTTATTGTGAGTGAGCGAGTGAGGGGGAGGGTGCCAGTGAAAGTCTGAGAACCACTACGCGAAGTTTTACGAAGGGAATGCTTGAATATAAATATTCATGACCACTGAAAACATCTCATAAAGCACAAGTGATTCACAGTGATTTGAGTCATTTCAAGGCAAAAATGTATCAAATCTCTACCAGACTCTGCTCTCCTTTGTTTTACATGATCATAAAATTAAAAGCATTTATCAAAAGAAGCATAAAGTGCGTCATGCAGACACATTTAAACATAATAAAGCATTAGAATGTGAATTTTGAAATTAGCTGTACAAGACTCAAGTGCAAGTACATGAGGAATATAACCGTGTAACGCTCAGTAGTCTAAAATAAATAAATAAATGCTCGATCACCTTTTTGTCAATACCTAAGGACCTCAGGCCGAGGCCTGGCGGGTAACAAATGCTGGCACCGTAACTATAAGTCCCTAGCATCTATATGCAAAGTTATAAATGAAGAAACTACCAGATGATTAAGAAGTAACTGCAGTTTGCAGCTTTACTAGTTCCTCTGTATGGCTATAGATGAGTTGGAAGCTGAATTTCCAGGATTTAATAGTGTGGCTTCTCTGTGACTTACAAATGTAGCTTCTATGTTTGTTGAGAGCTGCACTGATCTAACTTTGTCAGTTTGAGGGGAAAAAAGGGACAGAGAGAAAATCTGACTTTCTCCTCCCACTCACTTTTGAGCGAGCTCAGTGAGTGGTCTGTCTGCTGTCGGGGGCTCCCTCAGCACTTCTGTCTCTCTGTGACACTCTGATGAGCTGGCCAGCTAATGAGTCCCCCAAACAAGCTGAAGCTACAGCAAACACAGGCTGCTGTAATAGACGCCAGGTTGAAATGGACTGCTGTGCACAGGGTCCACAGCTGACTCCCTGGGATTTTGGACTGCAGCTTGCACGACAGATCAATCCAGACAATCTTTGCTGAGTGAGACTCCAGAAACCCTTTGCTGTGTTTCATCTTTGTCTCTCCCTGACTGCCCGGCTTTTTTTTTTTTTTTCCTCCCCTCAGGATGTACCCGATAAAAGAGGTTCCTGTGGAGGCTGAGGCCCTGACTGACTGGCTATATCAGAGGTTTGTGGAGAAAGAAGATCTACTGGCCCATTTCTACGACACAGGTATGTTACTGTGGTAAAATCAAACTGAAGAACTATGGTACTAGGGATAAACTGGTTCAGCTTTATCCAATACCACTGCTTTGACTTCAATTTATTGGCAGTGGTCTCATTTCAGCTAAATATTCTGTCTTTACTGCGCTTTGCTGTGGTTTGAGGCTATGCTGCTTTCTCCTTTACCCTGCTCTAAATGTCAGGGTGTAAAGTGGATGATGCTGATAGTATTGATCAAGAATGGAGAACCTGTGCAGTTGAATGTTAAATACACCTGCCTGAGCACTTCACATTTGTTCCCTGAGCGTGCACAAGCCAGAAATAGATGACAAAAGTGCTCCTAATAACAAGAGCACAGTTTGAGTTAACTATACTCAGTCTAACAGTGAATAGTGTGCAGCAGCCTAGCTTAACACAGTTAAAACAGGCAAAAAGTTGGAGCTAGTTTCAGGCTCTGAAAAGTGAAGCCAATGTTCATTTGCATTGAACCTGCATTCATTTTAAAAGCCACCAGTTGGCGATGTGTGTGGTTGCAAAAAGACTTCTCGTCCTACTAAAATATATGGGATAGTGAACCACTATATATATTTTACTAATGAATTTCAGTGTCAGTCACCCTTATTGGGTCATGCTGGATAAAATATCGAGTCCATTTTGTAAAATTTGGTCGTTCTTAAAGTTAGAAGAGATGATTATCCAGCATATATCTAAAATTGATGAGTTGGTAATCAATGAGGGTGCACTTTCACAGTCCGATCCGCCCGCTTGCATCAAATGCAGTTTGAGGATACCAAAGTGACAAAGCCAAAAAAGATTATTGCAAGATGTCAGAAAGGGATTTCAGAGGTCTGTGTGTGATGTCACTGTAGCTGTCCATCTTTTATACCGATGGTGTCAAACATGAGGACCACGGGCCAAAATCGACCTAGCAATGTCTTCACTTTGGAAAATGTGAAGGAGGGCATAAAGTTTGGACATTATAAACATATACATTACATAAAACTTAATGTGTTTTTTACTAACTTCTATAGAAATGTTCATTTTTATTATGGGTTCACGGTAATAAATGAATCCGTTAATTCACATTTAATTGTTGTTTTTTTTTTTTAATTATTTATTTATTTAAATTAACAAAACCTTTTGTTTCATAACTACAGAGCAGTCTGGCCAATAAGCTGCTAGAACCTTTTCTGCAATTTTGCACTTTTATTTCTTTAAATTTAAGCCCAAACAATCGTGCTGACACATTTGTCATGTACTACAGCAGCATTTCTACATTTTGTAGAAAAACCGAGACATGCTCTCGCATACAAAATCTCTATAATGTTGGACTCCAGCAGTGTAGGCGAGGTACCTGGTGCATTTGGTGGGCATCTTCTTCTGCACAATTTATCCATCCTACTTCCTCACCAAAAGCACCGACTTTTCCAGCAGTGTACAAGCAATTCCCTTAAAAAAATATTCCATCCTAATCCCCTCCGAAATTGTCCAATGTTTATGTGAAAATGTCTTAACTGTGCAACCTTACACAACAGGTGCAGTAAGAATCAATATAAGGTACCTTCATCTGTCAATGGAAATATTACCTGACATTGCCACACTGATGGAAAATGCAAACCTGTTACCAGATTCATCTATAAAGTAATGAGGCTGATGAGCTGCTTACTGGTAGAAATTTCAAAATAAATCTTAATGTTTTTACTCTATATTGGGGATGTTTGTCACTAGTCAGCTAGACACTAGATGTTGGGGCAAGTGAATAAGCACACAGGTCTATAGACCAGTCAGCGACTGCCTGGCACCCATCTGTCGCTAGGGACAACATGTATTTTCCAACTTGGTGGCAAAAACTAACTAGCAATGTTATTCACAATGCACTAGGTAACATTTAATTTCATTAGTGAAGCATGTTATTGACTCTTTCAAATTCTCTTAAATATAAACACAAAGTTTGCCTTCCTAGTGTTTCATACATGAAAGTTGCTTCACTGACTTTTGCCTACAGTTTATTACTCAGGTTTTTTTCCCCATACTTTTATGCTAATTAGTTGACTAGTAAAACTATTAGCTAGCACTTGGCAACTGTGGGAAGGAAAAACTCCCTGCAGCCTTCTGCAGCCCCCCATTCTACTTTTCAATAGCCTAGGAACCACAAGTAAGTAAATAAGTTACCAGGAGCACCCAGACTTATGACCAAAATAGGGGGTGCTTTGCCTGAACCTCTGTTGGTAGTTACAAGTTATCATAACCAAATAAGCACAAAACCCAAGAGAAAGCACATAAGAGCATCCTGGTGATGAGTCTGCATTTATTCGTCCCCCAACAGGATCATTCCCTCCTCCAGAAGGACAGAAGGAGGCGGTTTCCCGGCAGATGACCCTCGACCCAGTGTGGCTGTGCCTGATCCAGTCGTTTGCTTTCGCCTCAGGCTACATGTGGTACAGCGTCCTCCAGTACATCTACTGCTGTTTATTCTGAGTGCGCTGATGAGACGGGAGTCTTTATTGGACCACTGGGAGAGCCTCAGGATTGGATGGTGTGTGGCCCAAGTGTCATACATAACCCCCCTCCCCCCATACGATGGATGAATGTACAATTTTCAGAGGCGAGACTTGACAGGAAAACATATGAAGACAAAGTACAAAAACACGCAGATTACACACAAACCCCATACAATATGAAACTGGTTACAGGCATAGTTAACTAACTTTAACACAACCCTAACACCCCACACACACACACACACACACACACACGAGAGAGGCGGCCTAGCAGAATAATCTCACTTGTCACGACCCACATTTTGATGTTTACACGTCCTCATACATGTAGACACTCACACGTACATGACTTTTGTTTCAAAGGTAACGATATGAGGCTCAGGACTCCTCCAGAAGATGCTCTGGACTGGACTCTTCCCCCCTCTCCCCCCTCCCAGGCTTTCGCCGCAGTAGTTTTACAGAGTAAAGTGTGAATGGATGCGAATGCGTGTGCAGGAATATGTGTGACCAGAAGCATCATGTCTGCCCTTATTCTTCCTTCTGGCGAGAGTCGACGAAGCCCACCGGACATCTTTCGGTCCGCTGATGAGTCAGCTGGCTACATTTTGCAGAGCGAGCGGCCGTACGAACGCTGAGGCCGAGCAGCCGGCCGCTCCTCTGACTGTCATTGCACTAAGGATCCATACTGCCCTAACTGCTCCCTGCTCCAGGAAAACCTCCTGAACGGTAGCTGTCGGTGTTTTCTTCTTTTTTTTCTCCTCCCTTAGCCTGCATATCTTCACAACGGCCACTGTATTTGTTGTTGATGTCTATTTTTTTCTTTTTTCTTTTTTTTCTTTTTCTAAAGTGTTCTTTGTTTTTTCTCTCTCTTGTCTGGACTCTTTTTTTCCGTGTCCGTGAGTTTGCTGAGAAACGGGGGGATCATGTTTACACTGGTGGCTTGACTGAAAACGCTAAAAGGGACGATGGCTATAATGTGGCGCTTGATTAAGGGATTGGATTTTCTTTTTCTTTTTTTCCTCCCTTGGTGAGATTTGATGTAACACTTATTTCAAATGAAACAAAAAGAAAAGTACTGGCAAGATTTTGGATTTGAAAAAAGTAACCCTACTTTCTCTGCTTTCCAAAATAAATACCGATACAGCAGAGGATCGCTTCAGCAAGACTGAGAAGGCAGAGACACTGTTCCCCCATCGGACTACGTAGTTTTACAAATATTTAAGCCATATGCTTATTGTTGTCGAGGTGGGGAAAAAGACACGGAAAATAAACATGATTTTTATAGAAAGATACCCTAATGCATTCTACAATAGAAATTTTGGCTTACAGAACTATAGGTGTCATCATTACTGTAAATTTACAGCATAACCTGCCTAAGTGAGTGTGTGGTCGTCTTTATTTCCCCCCCAACACCCCCATCCAACCATTGTTGATATATGATTCAAGTTGTATTGCTCTGTGTTGTCAGAGTGTGGCTGCGGTTTCAAATTTTTAGTTTCTTTTTAAATTACTTGAACTGCTCTGTCCTCATGTCCCAGTATGTTTAAATCTTGTATATAACAAAGCTGAGGAAATGTGTGAAATGACTGAAGCCTGTCTCTCTTTTCTTTGTTTCTTTTTGGTTCGTGAACATTTCAAAACAATTTATTTCAAGATATGAATGTTTTTTTTAAAAAAAATAGGAAGAAAGCAAGGATTTTATCCCCTCCCCCTCTTCACTTATCAGTGTTATCCCGTATTGTTTTGACCAGGAAGTTGACGTGTGATCCGTTTCTGTGAGGTTATAGCTGCTGTAGGTCCATGTGAAAAGCGACACACGGTCCCAGTTTTGCGGGAAAAACTATTAACGCCTTACCAGATGTTCTGGTTGACCACAGTCCTCTGAATAATGCTGTTCCCTCGCTTTAAACGCTCGACAAACGTTGCTGTGAGGAAAGATTTTGGGGTGTCCAGGTAAAACTGGTCCAGTGAGGGAGAAATCTCTGAGGGGGAAACTCCACCAGGGCCCCTGCGAAGATGCAGATGTTCTCTCTCGAATGTACTCATGTTGTGGTTTTGCTTAGCCTGCTTTAATATGAAAATGATTGAGGAGCAGTGATTATTATTGTTGTAAAAAAAAATGCCCAAAAGGTGCATTTCTAGTAGCTGCTGCCCTCCCTCTGTGCCACTGTTGATTTAAATAAAAAATAAAAATAAAAAAATGTGTGAAATGCAAAAAAAAAAAGGGCTACCTGGCTAGTTAGGTAGGTGAAAACATGTAAAATCAGGCTGTAATGGTGTTTCATCCTTTGACCCTTTCAGATTCCCCTCCATTGTGAGCGTGACTTAAACTGAAGCATTTTTTAAAATCTTTTTTTCCCCCTCTTTTTTCAATTTGTTGACCATGTTTCCAAAGAAGGCAGGGAAATCATGTTTTCCTAGATGTGGTTTTAGGACATAAACACAATAGGGATTTAAACAAATTATACTAGAACTGTCTGTAATTTTCCATTTTGTACTTCTCCTTTAATTCCTAGCTACACAGCCATTTTACAACACAAACAAACTTGTGCTGGAATAAAACATAAAGATCCTAACGGTGTGCTTCTCGTCAATGTATTCTTGCACTCTTAAAAAAACAAAAAAAACAAGTCGTATTGGGTTAGAGCCCTTTTTGCTTTTATTCATGGCTTCAACAAGGTGCATGACACGGTTTTTGGAGATTTATCATATGTGGCACCCAGTGTGGTCTTCTGCTTCAAGGTTTCAAACTAGGGCTGTTCGATATAACAATGTATATCGGATGACGATATAAAAAAGTCTAGTTTCATTTTACGCTATCGTTTGTTTCATGGTGTCGCAAAATAAACCGTTTACGGCAATATTTTTTTCATCGTTTTGATGGTCACTGTAGTGGCTATATTAATTTCTCAAAGTTCTTTCTTTCTCTTATATTTAATCTAACCACACTACAGTCGGACAAGCGCCTGTTTTATGCTTTATGGTTGGCAACAACGACGGTAACACCATCGCGTGTCCGCTTGGTTATTTTCCACAAACTTTTCACAATAAAGCTCAAGATCCTGTTGAGACTGTTCAAAATAAACTGAATTACGTGAAAGAGCAGATTATTTACGGATGAGAAGTAAAAAAGCCGCCAGGTGCTAAGAAATAAAAACGGCCGTTACAACTTATGTCTAGAAATATATAGTTTCATACATCGGTTAAAACACTCGACTCAAGCTACATGACGTGCAGCTGGAAACACTTCCCGCAAGTCGAGCTGCCCGAGATTCACATAATTTACAGAAAATCTTACATTTTTGTGATTTATATCGTTATCAAGACGATAGAATTCTTATATCGGGATATGAGACTTTGGTCATATCGCACAGCCCTATTTCAAACACTGTGCCTTCAGAGATGCTCTTCTGCATACCTTGGTTGTAAGGAGGGGTTATTTGTTTTCTGTTTTCTTCCTATCAGCTTAAAGCAATTGGGCTCAAACCGTTCTCTATAAACCTTAAAGATGGTTATGTAGGAAAATCCTAGTAGATCAATAGATCGATTTAAAGGAGAAAAAAAAAAAAGTAAAGCTACCAACGGCTAAAATTAGATAAATTCAAAAAATTTATCTAAATTCAAAACTTGGGGTGGAGTGCATGTTTTAACTGAATGTTAGAAACGCAGATCGAGCCATTTTCTTTTCAGTTGGAAGTTTGTCATTCACACATGCACTGGAAATGACAAACTAATGTACCCAAAGGAGTCTAAAAAAAGATCGGAGTGGAGATGAATGTGCAGAATTAATCTCCTAAATCGTGCTGTGAAAATCGTCAGTTCCTGCTGATTTTTAATTCTGGTCGTCTAGGAAGGGTTCCTCTCTTCTGCCAGCAAATGTTCCCGTCTTGTTTTCAGTGAGGTAACAAACTATCAGAGGTCCTGGGGTAACCGAAGGCCTGTATTTGCTCAGTATTGTACCCTTTGTTTAACCGTGGCATCGATGTCTGGCTGTTGAAAGTAACTGGGTTCTGTTACAGAGCTCTGATTTCAGACACTACGAGGCCTCTCAGCAGCAGATGGAGATGATCTTACGTTGGTGAGAGGGCCACAGATGCATCAATCACAGATTAACATTGGTATAAAAATATCATGAGACCCGACACGTCAAGACGTAACATCACGCAGTTCTGAAGCATACTGCGTTTCCCCATCAGTGCGTGTTTATCATCATCTATTAAATAAGGCTGGTCCAACTCTAACAGGGTGTCTAAGTTTATGTTTGCTCTCTCAGTCTGACCTTCATGCCCCAGAAGCCTTGCCTGTTTGAGGTTTTTATAATTGGTTATTTGGCTCTGTCACCTTTCTATGGAGTGTTTGCATATGCTCCCTGTGCCTGTATGGGTCTTCTCAAGCTTCCTACCATAGTCCGTTTGCATGTTAGGTTAACTGGTGATTCTGAATTGACCAAAGTGTCGATGCAAACTGAGGTAAGAAAAATGATCTATAAATGCAGCCCCATTTCATACTGAAAAATAAAATGCCTGCAATGCAAATCTTTTATTTAAACCAGGAAGATAACGCAAGATCAGGGTAATCGTCACGCTTTCATCAACTTCTTTTCATCATGTTTTAGTGGTTCGCTGATGTGTCATTTACAGTGTAACCTGTCATTTGTCATTTTGAACATGTGGTTGCTAAAAGTCTTGTCCTCGTGAGCCTGTTGTTCATCACATGAGCAAAAGTGGCTAAAAATAAAATTGTACAAGGGGGAACCTTTGACCTGTGTTCTGCATGGAGAATGTGGACTTGTATATTTTTCTAACAGTTCAACTTCCTATTATTTTGTTTGTTAAATTATTTGACACAATAATGCCACCTTGAAATGGCACTGAATAGCAGGAATGACTCAGCAACTTCTGACCGCATCGGCTAGGGTTAAATAACTTGTTGCCAGCTGCACTGATTATCCAGTGGAAACCTGCTACCTATTTGCTTAGTTAAATCCCAGTGGTGGCCAGGCAGTGCACTTGGTACTTTAAACCACTTGGTCAACAAACACTGTTATATTCCCAAATCAGATGCACTGACAGAAATCCAAATGCCACCTTTCCTGTTTTGCCAATTTGCCCTAAAATTATTGGCTTTGCAGACTAAACCGAAACTAAGGCCAGCGTGACATTTCTGCAGCAGCTGGAGTGAAATTTGACGGGTCACAGCTCCGGGATGCCACACGCCAATGGGAAAAAGGCAGGAAGTGAGCTGGAAAATGGGATTACGCATGCACCGAGCTTCACCAACATACCAAAGGGCTAAGAGTGAGGAGCAACGGTGGCTGTTGCTCACTGTGGTGATCAGATGGAGGGAGGAGCATCATCACTCTCCTGCTCCTCAGCAGAACTCTTCCCAAGGTCGGCCGCATTACACAGAAACATTAGTCTCTAGAGGAACTTTACTGTCCTCTGCAGAAGCACCGGCATTCCTCCTCGGACACCTGCAATGAGCTATTTCACGGGCACTGCTCCCCAAGGTCCTCAATGTCACGCCTTGATGGCTGCTCCCTCGTGAATGCTCGGGTGATGGCGGTGTCCCTTGAGTCAGCAAGCACTAAAACATCCAGCTGTGGAGAGAAGGCTTGAATGTCATTGCAACAGCCATGGGCATCAGAGTCCTCACCCTCTCTTTTCCTCCCTGTCATGCTGGTTGAACCCTCTGTGCTCATATCTCATGTGCAAATACTTGTCAACAGATTCTGCTGGAACTCATCAGCAGTCAGAAAAATGAAATTAATTAGAAAAATAAAACCTCGCACTGCTGGTGTGATTGTTATTGTTTGGTCATAGCATCTTAAAATAATAATAATTAAAAGTAATAAACTTGCAGAATAAAGCAGCCAGGTGTAGGTGTGTGTGATGCATAAGTGATTATCCTGGCTACCTGTGGATGATTAAGTGTAGAGAAGTCTTCTGCTATTCATGCACACCGTTGTACTGAAACAGTACTGTGACAAAGCAATTACCCATTTCATTTATTATTATTTTCATTTGTCTGTAATGATGGACAAAATGCAATTTTTAAATAGCTTCATTTATTAAGGTCTAAAAGTTATGCCAACCTACCTGGAGCTGTGTGACCTCTGACCTTAACTGAGTCTAGTGAGACCTGCAGGTCTTTACTCTTGGAGTAACTTTGGTCGGGCTGATACTCCTGGGAAGCTTCACCACTGTTCCTGTGGTGTGCGTAATTATTCAGCCCCCTGAGTCAATACTTTGTAGAACCACCTTTTGCTGCAATTATGGCTGCCAGTCTTTTAGGGTATGTCTCTACCAGCTTTGCACATCTACAGACTGAAATTCTTGCCCATTCTTCTTTGCAAAACAGCTCCAGCTCAGTCAGATTAGATGGACAGCGTTTGTGAACAGCAGTTTTCAGATCTCCCCACAGATTCTCGATTGTATTTAGATCTGGACTTTGACTGGGCCATTCTAACACATGGATATGTTTTGTTTTAAACCATTCCATCGTTGCCCTG